AGGAACCCTTAAAGGAACCCCTGAAATTCCCAGAAGCCGCCGGGGCCTGCGGTGTGAAGCCACCGCCTTTGAGCGACGGAGCAGCCCGCGGAGGCCAAGGCGTAGAAAGTGAGGACGACCCTGCTTTAGTCAGGGTTTAAGGCTTAGGGTTTAGGGTTTGGGGTTTTAGGGTTTAGGGTTTGGGGCTTAGGGTTTTGGGGTTCTAGGGTTTAGGGTTTAGGGGTTCGGTTTAAGGGGACTAGAAGGACCCAGCCCCTTAATTAAGAAAGACCCCTTGAGTGAGAGTAGGATCTTTCAAGTAGATTCTTCAGTTCAGGGATATTGCAAGGTCTGGGTACTTGGGGCTACCATACGGGGGAATTAAATTACAATGACTACTTGGGGTTTTACAAGCGGTATTTGTAGGGTTTAGAGTTTCTAGGGCTGAGCTTCTAAAGGGGTGGTAGCATGGTGCTACTGTAGCATTTGGTAAACGCCTTTCCCCCTGAACCCTAAACCCTACACCCTAAACCCTAAAAGGAACATGCCTTCATGTCTAAGAGTTGGGATTCGGGAGACCCTTGGGGATATACTGTAGACCCTCTCAGTAAGGTCCCCTTTAAGAGAGCCATAAGTAGGGTCAAAAAGGGTCCCTTTTAAGGGGTCTCCCTAATACTTCCTAGGTTACCTGGGAATTTCGAGAGGGACCCACAAGACATCTTCACAGCACAGTGTATACAGAGGGGTGCCTTACGTAATATCCTGATAGTATTCAATTTCTTATAGTGCCAACACCTGATCTGGCATACAACCAGGGACAACGGCCAAAGCTAGACTGTGAACCTGCTTCCTTATCAGAAAAACTCGTAACCCCAATGAACATTTTAAACAGCACAGTCTAAATGGTTCCTAAACGCTGAGAGCCCACAAAACCGTGGACATCCCCCAGAAGCCCTGTTGCTGCCTGTTGCTCTAAACCCCAAAGCCTCGTACAACCATGGAAGCCAGAACCCAAACCCCTTAACCCTGAACCCTTGTCGAAACCCATATAGAGTAGCTACGGTAGGATGCCTCAAAGGAACCCGCATAAACCCGAAGCCAAAGTGCCAAAGCGAAGAATGCATCAAACCCTAAACCCCCTCAGCCCTAAAGCCCAAAACCCTCAACCCTAAACCCTCTACCCTAAACCCTAAACCCTAGACTCTAAACCCTCAACCCTAAACCCTCAACCCTGAGCCCTAAGCCAAGGTGCCAAAGCAGAGAGTGGATCAAGGCCGGGAGGCTCTGGCGCGCTGGGGTCCTGCGATCGCGGAGCTCTTCGCTCTGCAAGGGGTGCAGGGTTTGGGGCGTCAGGTTTGGGGTTCAGGGTTTATGGTTTAGGGTTCAGGGTTTAGGATCTAGGGTTTAAGGCTTAGGGTTAAAGATTTCGGGTGCAGGGCTAAAGATTTCGGGTTTAGGATCTAGGGTTTAGGGCTTAGGGTTAAAGAATTCGGCTTCAGGATCTAAGGTTTAATAGGTTCAGGGTTTAGGGTTCAGGGTTCAGGGTTTCGGGTGAAGGATTTCAGGGCTACGGAGCTCTTCGTTCGACATAAGGGGCTCTTTTAAAGGGCCCCTAGGAACTCATAGGATCTAGGGTCGCAGGTCTTTGCTGCAAAAAAAAGCTCAAAAGCTTGAGTGGCGAATGATTTGAAGTATATTCGGGTAGTTCGTTGAAATTAGGCTTCCTTTTTCGGTCCCCAAGATACTACGGCACCCTTGTAAAAAAAGACCCCAAAGGGGTCCTAATGTAGAGAGCTACCCTTATAGGTTTAATAAGGGCCCCTAAGGCCAGGCTTCGGGGGGCTTAGGGTTGTGGGTTTAGGGTTTAGGGTTGGGGCTGAAGGTTTAGAAGGTTTAGGGTTTAGGGTTGAGGGTTTAGGGTCTAGGGTTTAGGGTTTTGGGTGTTGGGTTTAGGGTTGTGGGTTTAGGGTTTTGGGTATATCGGGCTTCAGCCGAGGTTTCTGTGAGCCTGCTACCGTAAACCCGCATAGCGGTTATAGTACCCCCAACAGGTTATAAAGGTCGCCTACTCTACCGTAGACTGAAGCAATGGTAGTGCAGAGAATCTTGGGTTGTGGCTCAGGGTATAGTCTGATATCCACACTGGGTAATGCCACAAGACCTCGTTGTCCAAATGACTCTTCAATGAGTAGTTTCACACGGGCAACACGAGGTACCACAGAAGGTTGAAAAAACAAACAAGAAGATTGGGTCTTTCGGCAGGTTTTTGGAAGGTTATTAAACTAAGAACTTGTTTATGAAGCCCATGGAAGGAAAGGAGGAACCCGTAGCAATGCTACAAAACAATTCGCTTTGTTGATATGAGTAGGGCTTGTATGTTGATGCTTTGTGTGCCAGACCCCTTTACCTCAGGCACTACAGGGTCACTCGATGAAGTACGAGGCTTCGAAGAGTTTTCACACGACATGGTAGCTCCGGACACCAAGGCCGATCACATGCAGCTGCAGGGCCCGGACCCACCCACAGAGCTAGCAAAGATGCGATGGTGTTCTTTCCCTAAGGGTCCAGGTACCACATGATCGTATAATCTCCCAAGCACTAACCACTAACCTAAACACTTTGACCACTATCCTAGCCCCGAGTACCTAACTATTGGACCCCTATATTTAAACAAGAACCCTGAACCCTATACCCTTCTTCGAACAAGAGCTGGGTTACTCCACGTAACCCAGAACCCGCATGGCCATGGCGCGCCTCAAAGCGGGGAAAACAGCCCAGAGACCCTGAACCCTAAATTTTAAACTAGACAAGATCCCTAGCCCTAAACCCTAAAGGCCCTAAACCCTAAAGGCGGAAACCCCCAAACTAGAGACCCTAAAACCCTGAAAGCTAAACCTCTTAACCCATCCACCCTAAATAGACCCCGGGACCTAAACCCTCTGACCCCCAAACCCTTTTGATTCCCAAAACCCTAAACCCTTTGACCCCTAAACCCTCAATCCAAAAGAAACCCTGGGAACTAACCCTTTTCATCCAGCCATTGATCCCCAACTCTAACCTAAACTCTTTGACCCTACACCCTCCATCCAAAAACAGCCTAAACCCTAAACCCTTATAGATCCCTTTTAGGGTCCCTAAACCCTAAGAGATCCCTTTAAGAAACCCTAAAAGCTGTCCCCAGGGAGCTCCAGGGGAAAGGAGAGCAGGTCATTTCCTCGCGGAGTGCTCGGCTGCGGAGGCTCAGAAGCTAAGTTACCAGCATAAAGGGTATAGGGTTTAGGGTTTAGGGTATAGGGTTTAGGGTATAGGGTATAGGGTTTAGGGTTTAGGGGCTATAGGGTTTGGGGTTTAAGGTAAGTTAGTATAACAAGGGTAAAGGATGGCATAGGTATAGGGTTTAGGATAGCTGCCGGACCTACAGGTTCTAGGGTGTAAGGTTGATCCGGGGAGGGACTTCGCAGCGGTACGAGGAGTTGGTCTAGTCTCTGTTTCCCAACATTCCAAAGGACATCCGGGCACCTGCTACCCGTTTTTTGGCATGTCTACAAGTAGGTCCCCACTTCAATCCCCAGGCAGGAAGCCACTATGGAATCCGGAAGTGCCACACCCAAAGAATGAACCCTCGTGAAAAGGTCTCGTCTCCTCACGACTTGCTGCATTCTTTGCTCAACGAAACACCCTATAGGGACGCTGCTTCTCCTCCCGCTAGTTTTGGGTCCTATGGTCCTATACACCAGATTGTTTTCAGCAAGTGGGGAGGCTGGTTATGGTTGTCGCGGGGGTTCTTGCTTTCTCCCCACCTGCCCACACACAGCCACACATGCATTTAGAGGCCTTAACTATTAGATTAGGGCCTGGGTTTCTGTGGTATGTAAGTATAGCTATAAGATTCTGATAAGGGGGCCCTAGAAAAAATCTTTGTTAGTGTGTCCTAAGTACCGATATAGTAGACATGTAGTTTCTCTATATTAGGAGCTGCTGCTACGATGGTTCGGGGACGTATCCCCCCCACAGCAGTTCCTATGACGCTGTGGGATCCCGAGTCCCCGAAGCAAACCCTAAACCCTAAATCGCCTCCAAACCCCCAAACCCCCCCAAGGCCCCTAAACCCCTAAACCCCTCAACCCTCGACTCTACATTATCTTAAGTTCCCCCCTCAACCCTAAGCCCCAAAACCCTAAACCCTAGTCTACTGAGGTCTCAGAACCCAAAACCCAATGCCCTGAGCCCTAATCCCTAAACCCAAAACCCTAAATCCCAAAACCCCTAAGCCCAAAGCCCTAAACCCAAGGTCCCCGAAGCCCGGTGGTCCTCAATCTCGAAGAATCGCTCCAGGAAGCGGCCCGTCAGAAATGAGAACCACAGCCTCTGCGACTGAGGTCTCGGGGCGAGGGCTAAGGGCTGTAGGGTTTTTATAGGATTTTGAGTTGGGGCTTTGGGATTCAGAGGTTTGATCGGATTTTGGGTGAGGGCTTTTGGGTTTGGGTTTTAATGGTTTCGAAAGGCCTTAGGTTTTGGGTTCCAGGGTTTACGCTGTAGGGTTTGAGGTTTAGGATTTGAGGTTCAGGGTGTTTTTTCGGATAAAGGTTGTGCCATGCACAACCAACGAGCTCACGTTATTAGTATAAGTTGTTGTTCAATCGACTTTCTGCGAGGTTCAAGGATGGAGAAGTCTGCATATTCACCATTGCTTCAAGTCAGGGTCATGTCCATTCCTTTGGTCCCATAATATGATAAGTGCGGCGCGAAACCTTGATATTGGTTGTTTCGCAAAAAATAGGTTTGCAAGCTCTTCAAGGGCTTGCCGATAACTGTCGGCTGGGCTGTGATGTTCGGTATTTCGGAGGTCACAGGAAAGTCCATTTCAAACCACGTAGGCTCGAGACGAAGGACCGGAAAGAAGGCACCCCCAAATCGTAAGAAACCGCTTCTTGGCCCCTCCTATAGAAGGCCTCTCCTGCCGCGAAGCTAATGGTTGTTTTGAATTTGATTTCACACCATTTGGTGACCATTTCCGTCATGGCTGCTGGATACTGTCGAGCGGCCCTAAAAAAACTGTATAGGGACAAGGACTACTTTAAGGCCAAAGTGTATACTATTTGGGTGCATGGACTCTAGCGCTGCCAGGCTGTTAGTCTTGGGGTGTGGCAGTGTTACGTAGTGTAAAGGGCTGTCTGCGCCAACTATGGGTATTTGTCTGCCGCTGCTCCTGTAGCCATGCTCACTCTTGGACCTGAAACGGAACGCCAGGTAAAAACACCTTAACATCGGTTGGTGATGGTTTTGACTCAGGTAGTCTCAAATCCGAGCAGCGTCAGCGTCGCCGGGGCCAGGAACGGTGTCCAAAGGAAGGAAGCGACCTGAGAAAGCAAGGATAGGAGACCCCAGAACAAAACGCAGGCTTCATCATGCCTTTGCAGTTTCGAGGCTTGCTTGTGTTTGTCGACACTGGTCTGGGAGCCCAACGGAATCAATCATGTACACATACACATGCATGAATGTATGCACTTAAACATGTCAGTATGCCGTATGCATGTATGAACGAATGTGTGTAAGCATGTATGTATGTATGTATGTATGTATGTGTATGCATGCATGTACGAACATATGCACATGTGAATGTGTGAAAGCGAACACATGAATGAATGAAAACACTGACTAATGAATTAACGGACGGCATGTATGAGCGAACGCAGGGAGGAACCAATCACCTAACGAATAAACGAATGAAGTGAACAAAACAAATCAACGAAGGCATTATCGAACGATCGACCGACCGACCGACGGAACGAATGCCTGAAACTAGTTGATTAATGAATGATTGAATGTATGTACGCATGTATGTGTGTGCGAGTGTGTGTATAAGTCTGCATGTGTCATGTCCTAGAGCAAAATAGGGGCTACGCTTCAGGAGTGGTTTAGTGGACACCAAGGATCCAAAATAGAGTACAACTCGGTTCAAGGCCTTAACCAAGCGCCCGTGGTCAGGCTTGAAGGCTTTGGTTTAAAACAACCAGAAACCATCGGGTCTACTTGGACGCTTACGACTTGCACCCCCGGGACGTCCCGACATCTAAGGACGCTAGGTGTTGGCTGTCTTTGGCCCATACTGCACGACGACAATTGTTATTTATGTTTGTAGCTGGGAACCTGTGCAGATCCGAAAATCCCGAACCATCCTGGAATCATACGAAGACACCGTGGAAGCCGGCGTGTCACCTTTCCTAAACCCTAAACCGTGCTCTCGGAAACTCTATTATCTTCAGCGAAGGCACGTAGACGGGCCAGAACACCCAGCGGGTCGGCTTCCAAAGCCAGGCATTGGGCTTGTTGAAGAGCATGGTCACACGATTTCCTTTGGTTTTCGGGTTTTAGAGGACTGCCTCAGAATTCCATTCGGGGCCTTAGGTGCGACTTGTGGAATGCAGAGTTTTCGGGTGTAGAGACTTTTGGCTTCATGTGGCAGGGTCGTATCAAGGGCCCTCAAAAGCGTGCATAGTAGGGTTTACCGTGAATTCTAAACCCCAGCCCTAGAGCCCACACCATACAGATCTCGAGAGGCTACAATGCTCTAGACCCTAAACGAGAGCTTGACGAACAGCTTCACAGCAGCCCCAAAAGTTTCAATCTGTTCAGGGGCGCTGTATTCGGGCCGAGGGCTTGTGCGGTCACAGGTTTTACCAGAGCATACAGCTTCTTTGAGAGTACCCTGAGACAAGGAGGATTGTGGGTAGGGGCCTCCGGAACGCAGCCGAAACCCAAAACTCTCTCAAGGCTTTGGGTTTTGGGGCTATGCGTTTGAGCTGCCAGACACAAAGCCTATAGCATTAGTCAAACGCCTACGTGCAAAAAGCCGAGATCCTGTTCAAGTGGAAGAGCCTTCGATCCCGGAGAGACCTCGCTTTAACGATTCTCTCTGCCAAAACCCCTGCATAGTCCATTCCAAAGCCGTCCTGGCATCGATTCCGTGTCTGCCTGCTTACAGGTTCCCCACCGGGCCTACCTCCAGCAGAATCTCAGTAATCTCCAACATTAACGGCTGTTCCACAGACACTACCAGCAGCACGAATGACCAGATTATGATATGCTCCGCGCAAACACCGAATCTGGAAGCCGGGCGCGATGCAATGCTACTACTGTACACTACACGAGCACATGCTTCCGATAAAGAATGATAGGTTCTTCCAGCTAATCCCATTAAGCAGGTCCCATTTTCTGCATGAAGTCGAATGGACCGGTCACACAACAGTTCTGCTCACTAGATGTACTTTTCACGATCTGAAGGACAATGAAGCTTCACAGTCCCGTCGTCGCAGATCACGAAATCTGCAGCAATATCCGTTTGAGGCTCTGTTTTCTTAATGCCCCAAACCACGGTGTTCTGGTCCGGCGGACGTTGCACGAGGACTTTCGTGCCCCACCCGTGACCGAGCTCCTTTGTCAAGGAATGTTCCCGCCGAAGAGAATTGAGGATTGCCAGAGTGTACATTCCACCCTCTGCAGAGTCTCGCGAGCACTCACTTGCCAACGACGAAAGGCGAAAATTGATAAACGTTTTGCCCCTCGTGCACTTCACCAGAGTGTTGACTAACGGGCTCTTCTCCTTGCAAAGAGACTGAAACGCTTTGGCCCACTGTCCTGCGTAGCATGCATCAACCAAAATCGTGATATGCCCGTGGAAGTTGGCCTCACTCAGCCACATGAAAACCTGTCTCGCTGTCAAATGCACTCCTTCATCCAGAACAAGGTCACCCTTCTTGTTGCCGTGCCCAGTCAGGAAAAGAAACTTGTTGTTACCGGGTCGTTTCAAAAACTGCTCTATGGCACTCATGACCTCTTCGACTGGCCTGGGTGGGATTGCGAATATGTAAACTGACACATTCGCACCGTTGTCATAAAAGTACTTGTACATTTTAGCACCATCCTGGGTAATGCCACACAGATTGTTGAGGCCACCACTTCGGGCTGTTGCTTCATGTTGGACTATCCCAGGAGACATGCATGTGCCAACCAAAGCAACATCTAGCTGATCCCAACCGTCGCTCGTCTTACGATACTTGAACTTGTAGTCGCAGTCAGCCTGAGCGCAATATGTCAGCCTTGAGTGTTGCAGCCCCGCCGCTAATAATCGGAGCACCCCCATGGCAGGTCAGTGTGAGCTGTCAGCACACTGCAGCCCGCTTCCGGAGAGAAAACGGGCTAGCAAAAGGCTCCCAGTTGAAGGCTTGGTGCTACAATGCTGCATCGAGCAGCTGTGAAGGCTACAACAGGATGAGAACGTAACCGAACTAGCTCTGTTTGGTTCTTGCTGGGGCAACAGGACCACACCGTAACTGCCATCGACAAGGATACTTCAGGTAATGCATGGCTAGCCCACCAGCAGCAGAGACGGGCTAGAGGGGGGGTTGTGTTGAGTTTCAACCATAGCTGATGGAGTCTCTGGTCTCGGAACCTCTCGAAGTGAGAGTACCTCGGGCTATTCTGACGGTTACAGGCAAACAGGGGTCAGAGTTCAGTGTTTCGGGGAAGATAACTCCACACCATATAGAAATAATAGCTTCCGAAGAACAGCAAAGAAGACAAGCTTGTGGCTTGCCAGTCTAGGTTTCCTGAACCCTCAACCCCACATCCTAAATTTCAACCCCCGAAGCCTGAATCCTCAAATTCCTGACACCCAGACCCCAGACCCATACAGCCGACAACCCATAACCCTTCCCAGCAAACCCGGAGGATGCTTCAGGAAATCCAATTTCAGGTCTTGGAGGAAAACCGAGAACCCAACACTTTTAGGATTGGGGCTTGGGCAGTTTGGTGTAATTGACATCGAGTTCTCAAAGCTTGTGCCCGAGCAAGGCCCAAGTGATGCAAACCTCTGCAAGAAACAAGTTGAGCTTTGGGCCTTACAGTATGAATATTGTCCGCGAAACCCCACCCTATACCTCTCTTCGTAAGACCGGCGTCCCATGTGCGAGCGCTTCCACCGGCACTGTTGCGCGAGGTACTCGCCCCAGGTCTCCGGCATGAAGGATGTGGCCCAACAGTGAGGCAAGAACCTGCATAGTAGGTTTTCATGTAGACATGTGGAACTAAAGGTACGATGTGGGCTTGCGCCTGTGGTCCAAGGCATGTCATGGCCTGCTTTCGGTTCAAAGTACGTACCAGTACCGCTGGCACCAACAGAGCATCCACGATCTGAACTGCTGAGGTACATGTTTTGTGTGTGTCTGTTGTGTTTACGTTTCAGTGGGTTCTTGTTTCACTGGTCTTAGGCGACGAGATACAGTGGCCGTGACTCGACCAGAACTTTAGGCATCACAGCGGGCTTGGCTGAGATATCATGGACTGCAAATGCAATTCGCACTTGAGCAGCTGAGGGCACGCTGCTTTCCGACCTCCATCTCTGCTGCTACACAACTCGAGCTATCTCTTTAGAAGGATAACCAAGCGAGCTATTGGGTTGAAGGTGCTGGCATTTCAAGGATTGGGAGCTTTGAAAGTCGCTTTACATGGAAGGTGTTGGCATTTCAAACCTTGGGAGCTTTTTGTAGCTTTACATGGAAGGAGTTGGCATTTCAAGGCTTGGGAGCTTTTTATAGCTTTACATGAAACGCTGCCGAGAAACCGAATGCCACCGCCGTTCCTTAGCCACCACCAAAAACAACAAACTCCATCGCGAACAAGACCCTGACCCAGTTGGAGTTTTGGCTTCATGTGAGCTCGCTGGTTGCCAATGTCGCTATTGGCTCTGAACCCTCCGGAGCCTGAAAGGCGTTCAACAACAGAACTCGAAACACACAGACCTTGCAGCTCGACACAAACTACACTCTAACCCAACAATGCCGGCATGACGGAGCATTCCGTAAATTCTTATCTGCTTATCTCGTGGGAAAGTGTACGATTCGGTGGGTTGAGAACAAGTTCGAGAAGATAGGCTCCCCAGTAATGTGTGTGTGTATATATATATGTATATATATATATATGTATCTCAATCTATATATATATACACATACATACATATATATATATAACACACAGCTTAATTGTGAATGCATGTGGATACATAGACAAACTCTCTCTCCATATATGCTTATATATATATATGTGTGTGTGTGTGCGTGTGTAAGTACAGCCGCACAAATGCACAGTTTAATCTTGAGCCGACGGCTCCCTCCACGGATCTGGGCAACATTGTTAAATCAGGGTGCAATCTACCCAGGAGCCCTTATCAAGTGGGTTTAGGACGCAGCTTTGCCCCAATACCCCACAACCCACAAAGCCATCTTGGGGGTCATTTCTTTCGTTTTGGGGTTTAGGGCTTTAGGGTTCAAGGATTTGGGGAGCCAAAGAGCCGAATTGAACACTAAACCACACAAACCGCCGAGCTTCTGGTACTTCTCGTGGACGAGGTTTGTCATGAAGCTGTCTTCTCCCATTTCAATCCTCAGCTGGTTCTTTTGGGTTTAGGGTTTAGGGTTTCCTGTGGCAACCATGACTCTCGGTCTCTCCGCAGAAGACCCCCAAACCGCTCCCCGGGAGCCCCAGGAAAAAAAGAGAACACATGTTAAAGCCGGCGCCCAGAGTCATCATGGAATCGAGAATCGAGTCCTCATAGACTCCACGGCAGAAGTCTGTCTGAACAGCTCGCACAGTGTCCTTAGACTCTCTTCTTCAACAACCAGGCCCAAAAAAGCTCAAACTTTTTAGGATAGACAAAATATATAAGGCCAAAAAGTTTAAAGGTCCCCTATATTGGCTATCTAAGTAGATGTTACGAGGAGTTTTTGTGGGTTGGGGCCTGGCTCGGGGCTTGGGGACTCTTTATCTTCCCCTAGCTGGCGCCTCGTCCTCAACGCTCTATACACACCCATCGAAGACGCCCCTCTCCGGTCCACCAAAAAGCGAAGCTAGACAAAAACAAAGCTTGAATACTTCCTCAGCCTGTCGTAAAAATCGCGCTGCCGCAGACCCTCAGCATCCATAACCCTGCAAGTTTTGCCGAGCTTCCATGGCATACATCGCGCAGGAGCCGTTCAGCGGGAGTTGGAAGCGAATAGCACCTAGGTACCCCAGTAGCCGCTTAATAATAAGGGTACCCTTTTTCCTAATCTTCGGCAAAATATAAGGACAGCCCAAATAAAACGGGCGAAAGGGTACTAAACCCTAAACCCTAAACCCTAAGCCCTAAGCCCTAAACCCTAAACCCTAAACCCTGAACCCTAAACCCTGTAAACCCTAAACCCTAAACCTGGGGAACCTAGGCGCTCTGGCCCAACCAGAGCATCCGCTGCGAGAACCAGTCCCGCATCAGCTGCACCAGGAGGCAAAAATTGTACGACCTGGGCTTCCCCTTTTGGGGCTTCCCGAAAATTAGGGTTTTAGGGTTTTAGGGTTAAGGTTTAGGGTTTAGGGCTTAGGGTTTAGGACCTTATTTCCCGAAAATTGGGGTTTAGGGTTTCGGGTTTTGGGACATCCCGAAAATTGGGGTTTAGGGCTTTGGGACTTCCCGAAAATCGGGGTTTAGGGTTTAGGGTTTTGGGACTTCCCGAAAATTGGGGTTTTGGGCTTTGGGTTTTGGGCTTGGGGACTTCCCGAAAATCGGGGTTTAGGGTTTAGGGTTTTGGGACTTCTCGAAAATTGGGGTTTAGGGTTTAGGGTTTTGGGTTTTGGGGCTTCCCGAAAATTGGGGTTTAGGGTTGAGGGTTTTGGGCTTTGGGACTTCTCGAACATTGGGGTTTAGGGTTAAGGTTTAGGGTTTAGGGTTTAGGGTTATAAGGGACTTCCCGAAAATTGGGGGGTTACCTTATTTTGGGGGTCCTTATACTTCGGATCCTACTATTTAGGGTTCTATATTAGGGTCCCCTACCTTTTGGACCCAACTGACCCCAAGAGGGTTTGAAGGTGCAGATACGGTTGATGCTATAAATCCTGCATTACCCATAATAAGGAAAGTACCATAATTCCCATAGTTTAGAGTCCTTAAGGTAATGCAGGATATATATATATATATATCATCAACAGTACCATATATAGATAGATAGATAGATAGATAGATAGATAGGGATGCATAATATCAGGGTCTAGGGCCCTGACTTTTCAGGGTCATGTGGGCGTCAATGATGATGCCTCTTTCGTGCTTACATGACAAGAAATAGAAGGCCCCCGAACTCGTATACCCTGAAGCTTTGAACCTATAACACCCGCGCGTATATAGTTCCTAGTGAATTAGAAGGATGCGTTGGATCGGAGGAGCAGTCGTATGCACATGGGCAATCAGGCGTGAAGCGGGGACGGCTTGGCCTGATAGCACAGGTAACAAGAGTTACACAGCCGACCGTCGCCTGTACCCACCTCTTCAACCCAAAAGCCTGCGTGAATGCAACACCCTTCCTAAACGGGGATAAGGCTCGATTCATATACCATTTTGGGATTCATAGTGTAAGGGTATAAGAGTATAAGACCCCTGCATTTGAGATTAAGGACTGCAAACTGTTCCCAGGCACTTCTTGGTCAGGAGGAAGGGGCCGCAGGCTGCCAAATGCTGATCCTG